TGTACGCCCTGGCGTCCCTCCGGTGTCCCTTGGTCTCCGCCTCTTTTGCGTGGCAGGCGTGGGACAACGTGCACTGCCAAGGGGTCGGATGTACGCCCTGGCGTCCCTCCGGTGTCCCTTGGTCTCCGCCGCTTTTTCGTGGCAGGCGTGGGACAATGTGCACTGCCAAGGGGTCGGATGTACGCCCTGGCGTCCCTCCGGTGTCCCTTGGTCTCCGCCGCTTTTGCGTGGCAGGCGTGGGACAATGTGCACTGCCAAGGGGTCGGATGTACGCCCAGGCGTGAGAAATGAGACTGGCCTTGCCTTTCAAGGGTTGAAAAGCTGCTTGGAGAACTTCATGATCATCCAAACTGCTGGCCATAACCAGTTCGATGGAATTAATGTTGCTCCAATTGCTCGCATGTTGAACGTGGACTTGGACTCCTTGGAGGCGAGACGGGCAATGCTTTGAGAATAATTGCGGTCAAGAATTGGGAATGCTCCTGGTCAGGTGGAAGCTACGGAAGCACCGCAGATTAAGGCATGGTGTTGTGATCGTGCGTGCTTTGACGCACTGGTCTTTTCTTGCTACCTCAGGCCAGCACCTCACAACCAAAGAGCTTGGCTCCTGAGGCGCCAAGATTATGCATTCCGGCGCTTGCGTTGTGTGAGGTTTTCGTGCCAGTTGATCGAACCAGGCTTTCGCTCCATTTCAAACTTCCAGCGCTGCTGTGACGTGCTGAGGTTTTTTGAGTTTGTATACTATTGCTGTAAATATGTAACTTCGATCATCTACGCATCAGGTTTCTACACCGTGGTATGCACCCACTCCAGTAAGACACCTAGTTGGTACTGTCTGCTTCATCTTCTTTACACTAAGGACACAAATATTTTCCCAGCACTTCAGGTACAGACACCGACAGCGCCTCCACCGTCAGGTCCATCACAGGTGCGTTGTTTGAGTTTGGTATACTATTGCTGTAAATATGTAACTTCGATCATCTACGCATCAGATTTCTACACCGTGGTATGCACCCACTCCAGTAAGACACCTAGTTGGTACTGTCTGCTTCATCTTCTTTACACTAAGGACACAAATATTTTCCCGGCACTTCAGGTACAGACACCGACAGCGCCTCCACCGTCAGGTCCATCACAGGTGCGTTGTAGGAATTTTTGGTTCCAGAGCACCGTGGTATGCGACCAATCCAGTAAGACACCTCGTTGGTACTGTCTGCTTCATCTTCTTTACACTAAGGACACAAATGCTTTGCCAGCACTTCAGGTAGAGACACCGACAGCGCCTCCACCGTCAGGTCCAGCACAGGTGCGTTGTAGGCATTTTCGATTCCAGAGCGTTGCAATGAACAAAAAAGCACAAATTTCTTTGCGATATCTATCACAATTTACCAGGCAGAAAAAAGAAAAGGAAAAGGAGAAGAAGGAGGCAGTCCAATGCCGAAAGCCCGAACCCCAGAGGTTCAACTGATAATATCAAAGAAGCAGAGTCCAGTTTTGAAAGGTGGACTCGACGGCACAGATGGAGGTGGACAATGCTCATGGTAAAGAATATTAAAATCACCCAGGAACGGAAAAGCGACCGCAGACATGTGCCGCTGCCGAACTTGGCGAAGATTCCAGTGACTGGCAACGAAGAAGTTGAAAAGGTGGGGTCGTTTCGAATATGCGTTAAATCAAATCATATACAGTATTGGGAATGTTAGGCAGACCAACAGTTTGTTTTCATTCGGATGTGTTTGTTTTCATGCCGATCAGAGACGAAGACTTGCAGGACGATGCCGAAATCTTTGTGAAGAGTGGAGATGCTGCAGTGTTAAGAGACAAACGGAATATTGAAGGATTGCGTCTGGACCAGTTGCAGCCTGCGAGCGAGTTGGTGCATTCCACGTGGGAAAGCGAGCTGCGGAGTATGGCGCAGCTGTTAGCTGTGGACATTCCGTCCGCTTTGCAAGAGGCACAAGTCGTCGTTGAACTACGAACTGCACACGATTCTGGCGTATGCGGGCACGGCGGACCTCTGATCTCCGGACAAGTTTTGTGTTCCCTTTTTGATGCTGGGCTCAATCCGACGCCTGCTGCCTATATGGACCTGCAAAACTTTTTGGCTGACAACCCTTTGCCACACAGATGGCGTCTCTGTTCTGTCTGTAGGAAACACACTTGGAGCGCAAAGGGTATGACTCCTGCAGCACTACACAGTGTCAAGGAAGAAGGTGGACGCATGGATCGCTGGGCCCGTCTATCGACGGAATTCAATGTCTCAATGCCTTTGGTTGCTGTCAGCAATCTGAATCATTGGCATTTTTTTCGCACTGAGGCTGGAGAAAGGGTGTTTGCTCCGCCAAAGCATCAAAGCGTGCCTCGTGCCGCACATGAGGCACGCGGCGATGGATATTCCCAACGAGAGACCAAATGCGATCAATTGCCACCTTGGCAGTATCATGCCTACTATTGGATGATGGCTTTCCTCTACGAAGAGCTCCTTAAGATATACAAAACGCAGTTCCCCGAAAAGGCACCGCCACAGAGGAACAAGTTTGCAAGCAGAAATGCTATGAACGTGGCACAGAGTGATTGGGCAACAAATGTACGAAATGCGTTCTCCGCAAATTTTCAAAAAGTAACTCAGCCAGTTGACCTTGCGCAGAACCTGGCGCACTATCTGAGGAGCAAAGCGCCCCCGAACCATAAGAATTGCTGGGGATTTAACGGTTTGATGTGGCAGCATGTTGGTGCCATTTCGACCGTGTGCGCTTGTACAGTACATACCTTCGCGACATTCGTGTCAGAGTTGGCAATTTTTCAACCGTCGCAGCAAGTATGAACCTGAGAGAAGCTATCAATATAGGTTTGCAACAAGGTGATATGAACAAGGTTATGAATATATCATTTTGCATGCTTTCTCGGGTGCTTGAAGCTACTTGCTGATCAAACCTGGGCAGGCGTTTTACGTAAAAAGGTGAATGCTTGAAGCTACTTGCTGCTGACATCTGGAGACAGGTAATACTCTTTCAAGACTTTGTTTGCCAGTCGCGTTGTAAACCTGTACATTTGTATTTTAGTCCGCAGCAAAAAAAAGGTCAATGAAAAAAAACAAACGGAAGAAAAAGGACCGTATAACAAAAAAAGAAACTGCTACAAATAACATGAAACGAATGTCATGCGTGTGCTGCGAGGCGAATGCGGGCCTATGAGACGGTGCACTCCGATCTGCTCCTGTGCTGACCTTAGCAAATTATGCAGCTGCTCAAAGTGCCATGTCGTCTTAAGAACACCTGGAATTAGCATGGATAGAGGCTCAAGATGGATACAGGTCATCGTCTATTTGTCATGGAGCCGTATGACGACGCAATGTCCATGGCGTGTGCTTCCTTGCGAGGAGAGATTGAGAGATGCTCGAAAATACCGAAGGAGGATCAACCAGCACTCGACAAGCTATTGGCCGAACATGAGTATCATTTCGGTGATATCTCAGACTGGCCCAATGATATCTGTGAGATATCTCCCACAAAAACGGTGCCTCTAGAGAAGCCTGAAATTTATTTTCTCGGAAGTTTAGCCGCATGTGCTCATCTCGGAACTCATCAGGCAGAGACGCCATTGATTTCTCACAGAGTTTCTGTTACGTTGAGAGTTTGCCGAGCAGAGATGCAACGCATTCGTGGACAATCAGAAATGGGCTGGAAGAGTTGGTTTCAAAATCTTCAGATTCGATGGTTTGTTTTCGATCTGGATGATCCAAAAACTCGTCTACATGACGCCACTAGTTTTTGCGAAGATATGGGAAATGCATGGTTGTCGTGCTGGATGGAGATGTGCTGCACCCTCTTGCAGCATTTGTCCGAAACACCAAAGCGAGATGAGCGAGGCATTTTGTTTCATTGCTTTGGCGGCGTCAACCGCAGTTCTGCAGCGCTGTGCGCCTGGCTGATCTTTCGTCATGGTCTGACCACACAAGAAGCTGTGCAGAGCTTGCTGGCCGCTCGTCCTACGCTTTGCCCATGGCAGCATCGACCGCATGTCTTCTGGGCATTGCACACGTGGGAAAAGAATCAAGACCACATCATCAGACCTCGAATTCTTGCTGAAGTTCGACAGATGAGCGATGCGACGCCGGGACCCGCATAAGGTAGACATGTCTAACGTAAGGTACCATTGAAAATGCTTTCTGATTTGGTCATGACGGAACTTTCTTCCCACAGTAGAGGCAGCTCCAGACAGAGAGAAAAAAACAGCTTCGTCTTTGGCTTGCAATAGGATGAACAAACCATGCCATTGATGTCACGACAGTTAGGACTCAGGACCAGGGCAAACCAATTATAATTTTGAATCCGTCACAATCACCTGTCATAGTCCTCAACAAGTTTGCAGGTATTACATCGTAGTCTGCATTTCGGTTGTCATCGCAGCATTTGCACGAGCTGGGATCTCAGTGTGCTTGCGTTCTTTTCAGAGTCTTACATTACATGTCAAGTAGGACACTCAGGCGGCATGCCGGAATTGCTCAAATTGCTTCACTTTTGTAAAGATGATACATTCAAAGTCTGTGGCATGCCTGAATCTTGGCTCTGTTTTACATAAAGTTTACTCGCGGTCGTGACGCACAACATGGGTAGCGGCGGTGTTGCGCGGATGGCGGCCACTTGTCTGAAGCCATCTGAATATCGCGGAGATAAAAACACTGCTGTGGCTGGGCGCCTGGTGATTTTGACTCAGCAGGAATTGCCTGCCAAACAGCCCAGTCAAGGACATGGACAACCGAAAGGCAAAAAAGGCAAGTCGGGCAAGGGCGCCTCATCTTCTGCGTCAAACATTGTGCACAAGGTAGAGGCCCATTTGGCAGCCACCAGCAGTCCTACAGAAGTTCTCTACATCGAGGCATGGGGTGAGATTGGTGACAAGCTCTTGCAGCTCTGCCAGGTCGGCGACTTGGTTGCAATCCAAGGTGGCACGGTGCAAGCTGCTCCGGCGACTTTTTCGACGTCCAGGCTGCATTATCATCTTCGCCTCAAAGGCACGCTGGGCATCACAGTGCTGGCCACCAAGTTGACAGAAGCTCCGTGGGCTGACGTCCCGGACCTCCATCCTCTGGTTCCTCTCCGAGCACTGAGCCGAGTCAAAGATCGACAGCAGATTCGTGTGGCTGCGGTCATCATCGACAACCCAGGGGCCATTGAACGTCAAACCAAAGAGAAGATGGCCATGGTATGCAACGCCATCATTCAACAAGGCAATACCAAAGTTCGATGCGCTTTCTGGCATGAGCATGCGGAGGAACTTGCCGCCCAGGCAGTGAATGAGGCGGTGCTTTTGTACCAGGTCCTCGTGACGAAGCGGAAGTCCGAAGATTCGTGGGAGTTGAGCAGTTGGAGGGGTACCAGCATCCAAGAGTGTCCGGCAGCCATGGCAGAGTTGTTGATGCTCGCTCGGACTTTTGCGCTTCTTTCCTTGTCACGCATGAGGTATTGGAAAGAACCATGCAACTGTTATAGATCCGCTTCAGTGTCGGCTGTCTTGCCGATGGCATTGAGACGGCGATAGTTGAAGTTTACCGCATAGGACACAGTACATAAACTATATATGTTTGGCAGATGTTTCGGTGTCTTTTTCGCACATGCTGTTCCACGAACATACCTGCTTTTGTCGCTCTGCCGTCTTGAGGAAAAAAGAACTTGCAGACACCGGAGATTGCCGCATGCTCACCGAGATTCCTGTCAGAGACTGGGAAAACTGTGATGCAGTACCTTCGACGCTCAGCGCCTTGCTTGGCGTTGTGGTGCCGGGGCAACTGCGTAAAGTTGAGACAGTCTTCGTAGTCTCCGACTTGCAAATTTTAGGCATTTCGTCAGTGAAGAGCGAAACGGATGAGTGGCTGATCGCGTCTTGTGTGCGATGCAAGCGGGCCAGCCCTTGTGCGCAACATCCTGACGGAAGCACGGAAAAGCGCCTGGCCGTCAGATTGACCTTGGCCGATGGCAGCAGTCAATGCTCCGTGATGTTGTATCACGAGTTACTGCTGAAGGCAGCAGTGCTGATGGAAATAACTTTGCCCGAGCCGCTGGCTGATTCCAAAGAGCTGCGCGCAACTCTCAGAGACATGTTCCGGAATGCTCAGTGGATTTGCCGCTTCACCTTCAAGGAGAACGACTTCCAGCAATCCTTGGAATTGGAGTGTCGCGACATTCGTCCCTGCCTGCGGCTTCAGCCAACTGTCGTGCTGATGACCCCACCGAGCGGCCAGTTGAGTCTGCCTCTTTGCCGCTTGAACAATGGTTGCCCAGTGGCGCCGTTGAAAGCGGTGACAGTGGATTCGCATCTCGGACTGGTCTCCGTGGGCAAGGTGGATGCAAACTTTTTGCGTGCTTTGGTGTGCTTCAACAACGTGAAGTTGCCAGATGATGAAGCATTGCAGCAAGACAATACAGCCACCTCGGCCATGCGAGTGAAGCGATCCTTTGACTGCCTTTTGTCGAAGACAGATACATCTCCTTTCCAAGTGAAACTTCGCATGGCTGGTCCGGCTTCGGTTGTCAACTGGTTGCTCCAGGGCCGTACCGGAGAAATCCATCAAGTGGTCTTGGCCCAGACAGAGCACATCGAAGAGTGGAGTGTTCTCTGGCATGTCCCCGTGGATGCAGCCGCCAAGGACACCGTCACGGCCTACTTTCACCGACTCGCCACGGCAGAGCTGACAGTAGATGACCCCCTTACGTTTGAATCCAAATGGACGCCTGTCAAGAGGCTCCATGTCGTCAGAGACAGCATGCCGGAAGAGGCACGTAGCTCCACAGCTTGGACGAACACACTGCCGGCGTCATCCGAGGTCGCAGCCACCGGATTGGACGAACCGATGTGAACTGATGTTTGTTCCGCAGCAGTCAGTCGGAGACTGGTTCTGAAGCGTCTTGCTGATTTTCCTGGCTCCGCATGTTTGCGCAAGCATGCCCAGTCGCAGCCACCCGATCCAACGAAGAGATGTGAGCTTTGGCTTGTTCCGCAGCACTCAGTCGGAAACGGAACTTGAAGCGTCTTGTTGATTTGCCTCGCTCCGCGTGCTTGGGACAACGTAGCTGCTCACAAAGACATTTCTCGGATTTGGCTCCTACATTTTCTGCAGTTTTGTGCAACTTCACGCAACATGTCGACTTCGCAGAAAAAAAAGCAAGGCATTTCGACATGTCTGATTGTTTGCAAGTCTAGCATGGCTTCTGGTTGCATGCTGCGTCGCCATGATTGAAAATTACGCAAGTCTGTGATGCTCTTATATGCATCTCCGCTGTCATGAGGCCACGACCCTGGACTCGAGCGGACAGGCTCCGATGGATCACTGAGCTGGACCGTTCCAGTGTTTTCACGAGCTGGGATCTCAGTGCGATTTTTTCTGTCGAGATTGTAGACAACAATCTGGTTTGGCTCACTCTTCCTCACTGATATCAATCTGGTTTGGCTCACTCTCCATCACTCTCACTCACCGTGACTCACTTTCCATGCGCTCCACCAACCGACCATGAAAGTTTTGCAGGTGTGTGATGCTTCTTTGCATCTGCGTTTTCGTCAGGCCAGGGCCCCGGGCACTGGTGGGGGGAAGAGAGCGATAGGCTGCTGCCACATCTTGTTGCAGTCATGCGATTACAGTTTGTAACCAAAAGATGGATACAGCCTAGGATAAGAGTCTCAGTGCAGGGTACCGTCAGGACCCAGGACCGACCATGCAAGTTTTGCAGGTCTGTGATGCTTCTTTGCATCTGCGTTTTCGTCAGGCCAGGGCCCCGGGCACTGGTGGGGGGGAGAGAGCGATAGGCTGCTGCCACATCTTGTTGCAGTCATGCGATTAGAGTTTATGACCAAAAGATGGGTACAGCCTAGGATAAGAGTCTCAGTGCAAGGTACCGTCAGGACCCAGGACCCCAATCCCAGCAAGATTCTGGAAGGGAGCATCAGGGCAACCCCATTATATGAGATCGTGGTACTGACTTTGTCCCATTATATTTGATATCGTAGCACTGAGTTTGCCCCAGCCCACCGACCTCCGCCTCCTGCCAGGTCCGCCCGTTTATATTTTTTGGGGAGATGGCAAACCACCTTGGTTGGGGGGCCCCAAAGCACACGCCCGTCATTGCATATCGATACACGTTGGTTTCGCGTCGCATCGTTGTCCTTCTTTCTGGTTCGCATGGAAACGGGACTTCGCCACCTTACCCCTCGACACATGCACACACGATACAAGGTATACGTGTCCAGGCTCCTCCTCAGGTCTTATGATTTTAAAAGGAAGTGATGGTGTACCATGGCCTTGCCATCAGCCACGGTACATCTATTGTCACTTCCTCCCAATTGAATCTATGATAACCTTCGGCCTGTAACCCCGGTTCCCCCCGATCTCTTGTTGTGGGCAGATAGGCCTCTCTCTGGACGGATGGACTTTTCTAAGTAAAAGAAAAGCAAAAACTATTTTCTGTTGCTTCTTCAAAGTGATCCCCTTTGAGAAGGTCCATTGACCTTTTTTGGGATTGATCGAGTGGCCTCAAATTGATGGTTGACGAGGTCATTTTGAAGAAGCAAGTAACTAGCTATTTGCTGGAGAAGAACATCACGGCGATCACCAAGGTCATCACAGATGTGTGAAGAAAAGGGTGAGCAAGGAGAACAACAGCTACCTTGCTGTTTTGAAGCCAGGAGAAACACCTCGCCACTGCCCAGGCGAAACAGATGGACGCGTTACAGTGGCTGGCGGTGGTGTCATGTGGTTCCCACCTATCAGCAGACAAACTCAACATGTACACACACGAGACGTGTGACTGGCTATCTGCCTGCGAGGGAATCCACCTCCGTCCAAAACGCGACGGACGACCAGGTTGTCCTCGTGCGCGCTTTGGTTCAGCTGCTGCAAGCAGTAATCGCGTCAAGCTGTTGCAGGACAATCTCGGGACTGACAAAAGTTTTAGTTAGGCTCGCCATGACATTACACACTTGGTCACGTATTGTGATGCGGTGCATATCGTCGAATCATTGTCTCACAGCTATGGAATATTTCGATTTGACAACCTTAGCGATTTGCTTACACTGTTCAAATATATATATATATATATATATTCAAATATATATATTATATATGTAACTATTGCCCGTTCCTATTACAATATTCTCAGGGGCTAGCGGCTAGGATGGTTCCCCCACCTTGGCGGGGGGCAGGTCGGTTCGTCGCCTGACTCAGCACCTCCGTGAGCAACTACTCCAAGGCAGGCTCTTGCCTCTGGGCTGCAGCTCCAGTTCCGGGAGTTTTGACGATGAGTTTTTTTTTTAAAGAAATTGGACGAACCGATGTGAACTGATGTTTGTTCCGCAGCAGTCAGTCGGAGACTGGTTCTGAAGCGTCTTGCTGATTTTCCTGGCTCCGCATGTTTGCGCAAGCATGCCCAGTCGCAGCCACCCGATCCAACGAAGAGATGTGAGCTTTGGCTTGTTCCGCAGCACTCAGTCGGAAACGGAACTTGAAGCGTCTTGTTGATTTGCCTCGCTCCGCGTGCTTGGGACAACGTAGCTGCTCACAAAGACATTTCTCGGATTTGGCTCCTACATTTTTTGCAGTTTTGTGCAACTTCACGCAACATGTCGACTTCGCAGAAAAAAAGCAAGGCATTTCGACATGTCTGATTGTTTGCAAGTCTAGCATGGCTTCTGGTTGCATGCTGCGTCGCCATGATTGAAAATTACGCAAGTCTGTGATGCTCTTATATGCATCTCCGCTGTCAGGAGGCCACGACCCTGGACTCGAGCGGACAGGCTCCGATGGATCACTGAGCTGGACCGTTCCAGTGTTTTCACGAGCTGGGATCTCAGTGCGATTTTTTCTGTCGAGATTGTAGACAACAATCTGGTTTGGCTCACTCTTCCTCACTGATATCAATCTGGTTTGGCTCACTCTCCATCACTCTCACTCACCGTGACTCACTTTCCATGCGCTCCACCAACCGACCATGAAAGTTTTGCAGGTGTGTGATGCTTCTTTGCATCTGCGTTTTCGTCAGGCCAGGGCCCCGGGCACTGGTGGGGGGAAGAGAGCGATAGGCTGCTGCCACATCTTGTTGCAGTCATGCGATTACAGTTTGTAACCAAAAGATGGATACAGCCTAGGATAAGAGTCTCAGTGCAGGGTACCGTCAGGACCCAGGACCGACCATGCAAGTTTTGCAGGTCTGTGATGCTTCTTTGCATCTGCGTTTTCGTCAGGCCAGGGCCCCGGGCACTGGTGGGGGGGAGAGAGCGATAGGCTGCTGCCACATCTTGTTGCAGTCATGCGATTAGAGTTTATGACCAAAAGATGGGTACAGCCTAGGATAAGAGTCTCAGTGCAAGGTACCGTCAGGACCCAGGACCCTAATCCCAGCAAGATTCTGGAAGGGAGCATCAGGGCAACCCCATTATATGAGATCGTGGTACTGACTTTGTCCCATTATATTTGATATCGTAGCACTGAGTTTGCCCCAGCCCACCGACCTCCGCCTCCTGCCAGGTCCGCCCGTTTATATTTTTTGGGGAGATGGCAAACCACCTTGGTTGGGGGGCCCCAAAGCACACGCCCGTCATTGCATATCGATACACGTTGGTTTCGCGTCGCATCGTTGTCCTTCTTTCTGGTTCGCATGGAAACGGGACTTCGCCACCTTACCCCTCGACACATGCACACACGATACAAGGTATACGTGTCCAGGCTCCTCCTCAGGTCTTATGATTTTAAAAGGAAGTGATGGTGTACCATGGCCTTGCCATCAGCCACGGTACATCTATTGTCACTTCCTCCCAATTGAATCTATGATAACCTTCGGCCTGTAACCCCGGTTCCCCCCGATCTCTTGTTGTGGGCAGATAGGCCTCTCTCTGGACGGACGGACTTTTCTAAGTAAAAGAAAAGCAAAAACTATTTTCTGTTGCTTCTTCAAAGTGATCCCCTTTGAGAAGGTCCATTGACCTTTTTTGGGATTGATCGAGTGGCCTCAAATTGATGGTTGACGAGGTCATTTTGAAGAAGCAAGTAACTAGCTATTTGCTGGAGAAGAACATCACGGCGATCACCAAGGTCATCACAGATGTGTGAAGAAAAGGGTGAGCAAGGAGAACAACAGCTACCTTGCTGTTTTGAAGCCAGGAGAAACACCTCGCCACTGCCCAGGCGAAACAGATGGACGCGTTACAGTGGCTGGCGGTGGTGTCATGTGGTTCCCACCTATCAGCAGACAAACTCAACATGTACACACACGAGACGTGTGACTGGCTATCTGCCTGCGAGGGTATCCACCTCCGTCCAAAACGCGACGGACGACCAGGTTGTCCTCGTGCGCGCTTTGGTTCAGCTGCTGCAAGCAGTAATCGCGTCAAGCTGTTGCAGGACAATCTCGGGACTGACAAAAGTTTTAGTTAGGCTCGCCATGACATTACACACTTGGTCACGTATTGTGATGCGGTGCATATCGTCGAATCATTGTCTCACAGCTATGGAATATTTCGATTTGACAACCTTAGCGATTTGCTTACACTGTTCAAATATATATATATATATATATTTCAAATATATATATATATATATATGTAACTATTGCCCGTTCCTATTACAATATTCTCAGGGGCTAGCGGCTAGGATGGTTCCCCCACCTTGGCGGGGGGCAGGTCGGTTCGTCGCCTGACTCAGCACCTCCGTGAGCAACTACTCCAAGGCAGGCTCTTGCCTCTGGGCTGCAGCTCCAGTTCCGGGAGTTTTGACGATGAGTTTTTTTTTTAAAGAAATTGGACGAACCGATGTGAACTGATGTTTGTTCCGCAGCAGTCAGTCGGAGACATCATCATCATCATCATCATGATCATGATCATGATCATGATCATCATCATCATCATCATCATCATGTGCCAGCGATGTTTACCAGCCACAGGGCATGCAGAAAGAATTCACAAAATGTGCGGCTGCGCTCGAAAGAGTGCAGAACATTACTTTGGTCAGCGAAAGTATGGTGAGCACACCATCGTTTTGATAAGGAGCCAAAGCCTGGTTCGGTCAACAGCAGAGAAACACAACACAAGCGCCAGAATGCATAACGCAAGCGCCTTAGGAGCCAAGGTCTTGGGTTGCGAGGTGCTGGCCTGAGGCACACCATCGTTTTGATAAGGAGCCAAAGCCTGGTTCGGTCAACAGCAGAGAAACACAACACAAGCGCCAGAATGCATAACGCAAGCGCCTTAGGAGCCAAGGTCTTGGGTTGCGAGGTGCTGGCCTGAGGTTGTTTTGAATGTGTGTTAAACATAATATGGTGTTCAATATGTCAGGCACACCAACAGTTTGTTCCCCACACACACACACAAACTCACCTACCTACATACATACCTACATACATACCACCATCGTCCCTCCATCACTCTCATACTTCCTCTTCCCTTCTCGCTTTCTCTGCTCAGTCTAAGTCTAAAGAAGTTGGTAACATGTGGGGTTATCCGGTCCTTTAATTTGACATAACCAGAGGGTACATATCATAACTGGTTGGTGGTTTGGAACATGTTTTATTTTTCCATTCAGTTGGGAACAATAATCCCAACTTCCGAACTCATATTTTTCAGAGGGTTGAAACTCCACCAACCAGTAAAATGTGATATCACATACATATGACTACATATGTCATATGTGTAAATATCATGATTTATCAAGTCTTATGGGACAAAAAAACTCCGGGATATTCATGTGTGAACTTCCTCAACATGCATGGTGAAACATACAGAAATTTTTACACAGACCGATGACATTTCCTTCCGTTTGTTGTATCATAGTTGGATCTGACTGGATGACCTACACAGTAGCCTCTGGTTATGACTAACAGTTCGCCATGGTTTTTCGATGGCCCATAGAAATAGATGGTTTACCTGGGTTTAGCTATTAAAAATGGTGGATCTTTCCATGGCTATGTTAAATTCCAAGAACTCCCCAGATGTTGGTCTTGATGAGACAGCCATAACCACGAGAGAGAGAGAGAGAGCCATTTTTTCGAGCATGGGGCCGACGGCTGAGGCCACTTGTGCCCAGAGAAAGCACCAGAAACCAGTGGTACCTTGGGAGTGAAAGGATTGGGGGATTTTTTTGGGATGATTTAACCATCAAAATATCATGGTGACTCAACCAAAATATCATGGGGATTTGAATGGGGAGAGATTTTTTTCAGATTTTAAAAGGTGATCACCATGAAGCGAAGCCAGCACATTGAGAAGGGGTAGCGCCATGGTACCATGACCCCTTTTTGAAAAACACAGGGTGGATTTTGACTCTTGTTTTGTCATTGGTCTAGAACACTGCTCAAGTGTTTGGTGATGCCTGATATTTCTATATCCTCTGGTAATCAAAGGTAGAAATATATGGGACATCCCCGAACTGATGGTGGAAACCTCACTTCCCATGTCTGATTATTGAAGGGCCGAAGGGTAAATCATGATAAATCATCTATAGACTATAGATGATGAGCCTAAGTGAAATAAGCAGAGGGTATGATTCGGTATGATAGTAATGATTACTGATTATCAACCATGGATCATTAATTATTATGTTTACCCTCTGGTAAACTAACATAGCTATTGAAAATGGCCATTATTAGTGAGTTTTCCCATTCAAAATTGTGATTTTCCATAGTTATGTTAGTTTACCAGAGGGTATGTTTACCTACCCTGTGTTGATATGACACCTGGACCGGAGCATGGAAATTCACGCTGAACTCCAGGTCAAAATGGCAGCCAGTTGGCTGAGGCGGACGACGGTCGATGGTGAGTTCTTTTAGATTTTCACCAACTTCTGTAAATAGTTGCTATGCCAACTGGTGATATATATATAGATATTATACCTGAAGTATGTATTGTATTATATTATATTGTATTATATTATATTATATTATATTATATCATATATCTAATATATTATGTTGGATATTGTATCATTTCACCATCCTTTTTGGAGGATTTGGACCTGCTATTCCAACTGGTCATCCTTTTGGTGATGTTGAAGTTCACCAGTTTGGGGTCGGTGCCAAAAAAAACCTCCATAGCTTTGGAAAATGGTCCATTTATAGAGGATTTTATGATGATTTACCACTCCAAAATGGTGATTTTCCATAGCTACGTTAAATAACCAAACGGTATTTCAAATTTTTATGAATGAAACTTAAATCAAACATAATTTCAAGAATTTTCTATTGAGATCAAGGTCAATGCCATGATCAACTTTTAGTAACCGAAATATTCACTATTGGGATCACAAAGAATTTGACACCTGCGCCACTGACATCTGCATGTTTCTTTTCGAGGCCAGAGTTCCCTTGAGCGACGGTTATGCGAAGTTCGTGGGCAGCGACGCAGGCTGACGGTGGCTTCTATCATCTCCAGATAATTACAATTTCTCCCTGGACACATATGGAGGTTTCCATAGTCATCCGGCTATCCCAATAAATGGATGGTTGATTTCATGGAAAATCCGAAAAGAACATGGATGGTCCCCCGGGTCCTCTTTTTTGTGGGACGCAAAAGCAAGCCCTGACCTGAACATCTAATCGTGGTTAATAATATGTTAATGGTTGAAGATTAGATTAACATTATTAACAATAACTCATTATTAACTGATTGGTGGTTTGGCACATTTTTTTTCCATATATTGGGAATAATCATCCCAACTGACCAATATTTTTTAGAGGGGTTGAAACCACCAACCAGTAAAATGTGATATTTTTCAGAGGGGTTAATGGAAGCCGAAACGTTTTTTTTGTCGTTTCCAGCATCAAAACCTCCACGGAAAAACCGATGGGTGTTCGTTTAGTTGCCCGATTCCCAATTCCCAATCTGCAATGTGTACAGACAGTATATACACGATATATAATATGTAATATATATAATATGTAATATATATAATATGTAATATATATAATATGTAATATATATATATATATATATATACAATATGTAATATATATAATATGTAATATATATATATACAATATGTAATATATATAATATGTAATATGTATATATATACAATATGTAATATAATATGTAATATGTAATATGTAATATATAATATGTAATATATAATATGTAATATATAATATGTAATATATAATATGTAATATATAATATGTATTGTAATATATTATATGTAATATATATATACAATATGTAATATATAATATATGATATATGATATATTATATATTAGATTTATAGTATATATTATATATTATAGTATATATTATATATTATAATTTAATTATTATAATGTATATCATATATGTGTATTTATATAGCATATATATATATATATTAATCACAAGTGCTGATGTATTGCGGATTTAGATTGACACCAAGATCAGCCAGACTTGTATGTAAACGCCAACCCTGAACTGAACAAGCTCTAGTTGATTAATCAGAGGGCCAAAAAAGTGACAAATACATCGATTAATTGCCGTCAAAAACACACACCCCATATCAAACCACTGGTTGAATACATACAGTAACCCAAAAATGAGGAATCAAAATTTCCGGTGAAAAATCAAACATTTTCAGCCCATCCAGGTTGCCAGATGGTTTCTTAAAAAAGGGTTGCCTTACCCACACGAAATCTCAGTGAAATCTGTGGCCAGGTGTGAGCCAATCGCAAGAGCATGAGCAGGTGACGAGATGCGATAGATGGGTATAGATAGGATATAATGAGTACCCTCTGGTTATGTCAAAATAGCTATTGAAAATGGCCATAGAAATAGTTGATTTATTCACTAGAAATGGTGATTTTCCATAGTTATGTAAGCGTTTCCCAGAGGGTATATAGGGGTAAAAGCCAATGCCAACATCACCATTTATGGTAGGTTTATGGCATTGGGCTGCCCGCAGTCATGGGGATGGGTATATTTAATGGGATATCATTTGGATGTAGACAGTCATGATGTCCCTGGCATGAGGGTTAAGATTTGGGGAATCATCCCCAATTTGCCTTTGTGGTGCCGTTTTCAAAGAATGACACGCACAAATCAAGAAGTGCTGTCTACTGTAGGACATGGCATGCAGTTTGGACGACCGTTCATAGCATGGCCCCTGCACAAGGATCTTACCGTTTGCACATGGCTCAAGAAAAGGGCAGACTTTTGCACCTGCCTTTCGCAGGTTATGAGCCCAAGCCTTCACTGGCTTGGGTGCGCGGTGCCTCCTCGATCGTGATGGATCGCAGGCGCCGGCAGCACCACGAGACGGCAGATCAGCGCTTGGATAGGCTGATCGAGATGGAGAGGAGGTCCCGCCTGGAGACCCCTCAGGTCCCGGAAGTCAGACGACTGAGGGTGACTGAGGGGGACGCAGCTGCTTCAACACCAGGGCCACGACAAGATGAACGTCGAGGAGAAGGTGGAACTGAAGGGCCGCATGGGCAGGTGACTTTACTCCAACTTGATGCAGAACCTCTAGGACCTGATGGCCTTCTTGCTCCGCTGTTTCAGGAACCTGGGCATGATGAAGCTCAGGCGGTGTTTCGACGAAGGCTGGACGAAGATGATGACATCCGCCCTGCCGTGGCAGCTGAAGGAGGACTTCATGGAGGACCTAGTGCTGCTGGAGCTGGTTTGGAGCTGGCTCGGAATCCCTCTAGTGATGCTGGCCGGGAACAAGGGTTCGTGCACCGTGATGGGACGTCCTTGCTGGTGGCATCTAGTGGCCTGTTTGGCCAGGATCGAGGTGGCGCTGGGGTGATTACAGTGCCTCCCGGAGTCAATGCTTTCTGGAGCGCTGGAGTTCAGCGTGAGGCAGCCTTGGAACAGATAGCTGATGTGGCGAGACCGGAATCTTTGCCACCTATGGCGGGGGTGCCAGTGACGTTTGGCCCTGCTGGCCATGGGAATGCTGGGCAGGCTCAACTTGGAGTGAGCCCTGGGCAGGATGTTCGTGGTGGCGCTGGCCTTGAGCAGGCCCTTGGTGCTGGAGCTCTTCATGGGGGTCCTGAGCAGGCCCTGGTTGCAGGAGCTCGACATGGGGGTCCTGTGCAGGCCCGTGGTGCTGGAGCTCTACATGGAGGCCCTGGGCAGGCCCTTGGTGCAGGAGCTCTACATGGGGGTCTTGAGCAGGCCCAAGGGACGCTGAATGGTGCTGGCCCTGTGCAGGCCTTGGCCATTGGGACGTTGTCGCCACCATCTCCAGAGAAGTCTGTCGAGGAGTTGAGATTGCGCATCATGAAGGAGGCCGAAGAGAGCTTCGTTAGAGAGGCGAAGAAACTTCGTGGAGAAGAAGGTGAAGGTGGGGAGATTCGGTCCTACCACACAGCCTCAAGTGGAGCTGGTGCAACTACAGGGTCGGTGCCTCCGATGCCAGCTTTGCAGGGGTCGGCAACTACACCTTCACTGACTATGCATCCCGCTGGACACCTAGCACCTTCTCATCCTGCTGAACGTGGTCAAGTTGGATTGGATGGACATCAACATGGCGCACAAGGTGCTGGTCAGGGATGTGGGCTCGCTTGGAGCCAACCTGTTTCGCCGATGGCAGTGCATTCACCTGGAATTCCTGGTGGCCAATCTCCTGGACTTCATGGCAGAGCAGGTGTTTCCTACTGTGGTCTTCATGCTGGTGGACTTTGTGGAGGCATGGGATCCACGGCGAACTCACAAGGGTATGCTGCTGGGCCAAATGGCGGTGGTCAATTCACTGGTGATTGGAATGCCTCAGGCCCTATGGCGTCTTTTGGAGGTGGTGGCACATCAGGAACTACCTCGATGGTGAGACCCCCTGGACTTGGAGGACCAGATCAACAACAAGGAGCTGCATCACCTATGGAGCAGCTGAGAGGCTCTGATCTTCCTCTACTTCCACAGCCAGGTTCAGAGCAGTCGGCCTTACAATTTGGAGACTGGATCACGGTGGTCACTCCAATGATTGGAGATGTTGCTGGATCAGCTCGTGGGTGGTGGAGTGAAATCTTGAGGGAAGCCTCAAACCTCTATGACCGGAGGCTCACATCGACTCCTTTGGAGAGGATCCGACTTCGACCTTTGGATATCCAGCGCTCTGAGGCTCACCTACGCTTGGAGCAGAGGGTGGTGCCGATGCTGCTGAAGTGCATCCCGGAGCTCATCAAGCAGGACTTGATTGCCAGCCGAACCATGACGGTGACAGGAATCATGTACAGGCTGTGGACTATCTTCCAACCGGGTGGGAGCTCTGAAAGGGTGAGCATCCTCAAGCAGCTCACGGAACCAAAGGTGGCAGCTGGAGCACCAGACTTGCTTGGTGGACTTCGGAGATGGAGAAGATTGATGAGCAGGTCTTTGGAGCTGAATCTGGCGCTTCCTGACCCGGTCATTCTGGGTGGAGTCTTGCATCGCTTTGCAGACGCGCTGGGAAAGCTTGGGGGCACACAGCTGGCATACCGGGTGGCTTCGGTGAGGCAGGAGCTTGGTGTGGACATCAGGCCTATGGCCCCATCCATCGAGCAGTACGCCGAGTACCTTCAATCTGAGGCGGAGGAGCTGAGCCTTGGGATCGGTTTGAGATCCACGACTGCTGGAGCTCAGGGTACTACCTCACTGAAGGCCATGGCTGGCTTGGAGGTACCAACATCGACGACGAGTGCATCAACAGGGAACACCTTGAAGTCTCCATGCAAGTTCTGGAAGACCACAGAAGGGTGCAAGCGTGGGGCTCAGTGCACGTTCCTTCACGAGACTTCTGACATGAAGGGTCGGTGCTTCAACTGTGGAAGCTCAGCGCACCTTCGAAGGGACTGCACCGCAAAAACTTCATCTACTTCGACTTCTACCCCAACACCATCTGCTGGCCCTGTGGGTGATGGCTCACAGCCCAAGAAGGTGTCCAAGGTGAAGGCATCGCCCAAACCAGCTGCGAAGGGATCGGCTGGTGACTCTCAGAAGGTGAAGACGGCGAATGGCGATGACTTGAAGCCCAAGGAGGTGGTCAACGCAGCCGCTGGTGGAGCTTCAGAAGGAGCTCAATGTGGGGATTCCACTACAACGGAGCCAATGGGTGAGCCATCAACAGAGGCGGCAGCCGAGCTGATGCGAGAGGCCACAAGCCTCCTGAAGTCCATCAGGTCTTTGAAGGCCGTGCGGATGAAGTCCGTGGGAGAAGGGAACTTTGGTGGGCCGGGCGAGCACGCCTTGTTGGATGGAGGAGCCACTCATGGGCTTCGACAAGCCAAGCCTGAGGAGGAGCCGGACTTGGTGGCCACGAAGGTGGAACTGGCTTGTGGGTCAACAGTGCTCTATAAGCACCCCAAGCATCAGACCTTGCTTAGCAAGGAGCCGGTGGAGCCTATCATCCCCTTGGCATGGCTGGTGGCGGCAGACTACAGGATCACATGGCGCCGAGATAGCATTGTGATTCATCACCCAACACGGGGTCCACTGAAGTGCAGCCTGAGAGGAGGTTGCCCTGTGATGTCACGATCTGAAGGTCTGGACTTGCTGGCTGACTTAGAGAAGATGCAGCAGAACGACATCGAGGTCAAGGATGAGGAGTTGAACTGGTGGGCGAATCGCTTTCCACAAGTGCCAACTTCGGTTTGGAAGTTCATGAAGGGTCAGGGTGACTCTTGGCGAGATCACGCTGTCAGCCTACCTTGGAACCGTCATCGACGACGAAGGCTATGGCGCTCTCGTGGGGTCATTCTGCACTTGTTCTCTGGCCGGAACTTCAAGCAGTGGGCTGAGCTAGAACAGGAGGGCTATGTGGTGCTCACTGTGGACACTCTTCAAGGAGTTGATCTACATGATGCTGCGATTTGGGCCTTCATATGGGAGCTGGCCTGCACCGGCAAGATTGCTGCCATTTTGGGTGGCCCACCTTGCCGTACAACTTCAAGATTGCGGCAACGCCAGCCGGGACCGCCACCATTGAGGGGGCGAGATGGATGGCGCTTTTCCTTGGATGGCCTTTCAACATGGGACCTTCATCGGGTCAACTCAGACACTGCCCTGCTCTTCAAACAGCTTGGACTCTTTATCAAGGCTGAGGAGAAGCGCATGCAGGTACCAGAGCTCCAATCGATCCCTACTGCCTTTGCACTGGAATCTCCGGAGGATCCTATGTCCTACTTGGGGGCTGAGGCTGCACACAACCTTCCATCCTTTTGGAACTTCCCTGAGGTGAAGGAGATGGTGGGACTCGGTGGTCTGAAGATGGCGAGCTTTGATCAATCTCAGATGGGGCATGCCCGGAGGAAGCCAACTACGATCCTTGGGAACTTGCCTGGATTGGAACAGCTGGATGGCTTGAGAGATGGATCTCGGCGATCAGACCCACTTCCAAGGAGCTTGCAGAAGTCCATAGAGGCCTCAAGGGATTGGGCGAGCTGGGCACCTGGTCTGGTGATGGCACTGAAGGAGGCGCTGAAGGCTTATCTCCATCAGAGGAGCCAATGCATGGCACAGCGCATCCACAAGCTAAATGTCGAGGAGTGGAAGCAGCATGTCAAGGCTCATCATCACCCCTATCGACGGGATTGCCGTCGGTGCATGGAGCTGGCAGGAGTGGATAGCCCACATCGGAGGTCGCATGCTGATAGCTCAGCCTATGTTCTCTCCATGGACTTGGTTGGACCGTATCCGGTCGGAAGGGACGATGGTCGGAGGCGAAAGGGAAAGTACATCCTGGTGGCCACAGTTCCTTTGCCGA